AATAGTAGTCGTAGTGAAAGTAGTACTTATAATAGTCCTCGTAATAGTAGAAGTAAACCTAGTAACAGTTGTGCTAGTGATCGTCGTAATTGTAGTCGTGGCAGTAGTCACCGTAGTAGGCAGTAGTCGGTAGTCAATAGTCAGCAGTACTAGTAGTAGTAGTAGTAGTAGTCGTAGTAGTAGTAGTAGTAGTAGTAGTAGTAGTAGTAGTAGTAGTAGTAGTAGTAGTCGTAGTAGTAGTAGTAGTAGTAGACATAGAACCCGTCGTATAATGAGGAGTAACAGTAGTAGCAGCAGCAGCAGCAGTAGTAGTAGTAGTAGTAGTGGTGGTAGTATTAGTAGTAGCAGCAGCGGTAGTAGTAGTAGTAGTAGTAATAGTAGTAGTAGCAGTAGTAGTAGCAATCGTAGTAGTAGTAGTAGTAGAAGTAGTAGAAGTAGTAGTAGTAGTAGTAGTAGTAGTAGTAGTAGTAGTCGTAGTAGTAGTAGTAGTAGTAGTAGTAGTAGTAGTGGCGTCGTAGGTAGTAGTAGTCGTCGTCGTAGTAGTAGTAGTAGTCGTCGTAGTCGTATTTGTAGTATTAGTCGTAGACGTAGTAGTAGTAGTAGTAGTAGTAGTAGTAGTAGTAGTCGTAGTAGTAGTAGTAGTAGTAGGAGTAGTAGTAGTAGTAGTAGTAGTAGGGGTAGCCAGCGTAGATGTAGAAATCGTAGTAGTCGTAGTAGTAGTAGTAGTAGTAGTAGTAGTAGTAGTTAGTAGTAGTAGTAGTAGTAGTAGTAGTAGTAGTAGTAGTAGTAGTAGTAGTAGTAGTAGTAGTAGTAGTAGTAGTAGTAGTAGTAGTAGTAGTAGTAGTTAGTAGTCGTAGTAGTAGTAGTAGTAGTAGTAGTAGTAGTAGTAGTAGTAGTAGTAGTAGTAGTAGTAGTAGTAGTAGTAGTAGTAGTAGTAAGTAGTAGTAGTAATCAAGTAGAATGGATAGTAATAGTGGTCGCAATAGTAGCGGTAAATGTTTCCGGAAGTAAAATAATAGTAGTTGCAATAGTAGCAATAGGAGTCGTAGTAGTAGTAGAAATAGTAGTAGTAGTCGTAATCGTAGTCGTATTAGCCGTAGTAGTAGTCGTCGTCGCCGTAGTGGTAGTCGTAGAATCAGAAGCAGTCGCAGTAGCAGTAGTAGTAGTAGTAGTAGTTGTTGTTGTAGTAGTCGTAGTAGTAGTAGTAGTAGTAGTAGTAGTAGTTGTGATAGTAGTAGTAGTGGTCGTACTCGCAGTAGTAGTAGAGGTGGGAGTAGTAGTGGCTGTAGTCGTAGGAGTCGTAGTATTCGTCGCAGTAGCAGTAGTTCTAGTAGTGGTAGTAGTAGTAGTAGTAGTAGTAGCAGCAGCAGCAGTAGTAGTAGTAGTTGTAGTAGTAGCAGTGATAGTAGTGTTAGTAGTAGTAGTAGTAGTAGTAGTAGTAGTAGTAGTAGTAGTAGTAGTAGTAGTAGTAGTAGTAGTAGTAGTAGTAGTAGTAGTAGTAGTAGTAGTAGTAGTAGTAGTAGTAGTAGTAGTAGTAGTAGTAGTAGTAGTAGTAGTAGTAGTAGTAGTAGTAGTAGTAGTAGTAGTAGTAGTAGTAGTAGTAGTAGTAGTAGTAGTAGTAGTAGTAGTAGTAGTAGTAGTAGTAGTAGTAGGAGTAGTAGTAGTAGTAGTAGTAGTAGTAGTAGTAGTAGTGGTAGTAGCTGTAGTAGCAGTAGTAGCAGTAGCAGTAGTAGTCGTTGTCGTAGTACTACTACTACTGAGAATAAGAGCAGGGGTAATGATAATACCAATCGTAGTAGTAGTGATAGTAATTGTGACAACAATATGGGTAGTAGTGGTAGCGACAGTAGTTACAGTAGTCGTTGTAGTAGTAGTTGCGGTAGTAGTAGTAGCAATAGCAGTCGCAGTAGTAGTAACAGTAGTAATAATACTAGTCGTAGTCGTAGTCGTAGTATCAGTGGTAGTCGCAGTCGTGGCAGTCGTAGTCGTAGTCGTAACAATAATAGTAGTGACGATAGTGGTAGTAGTAATCATATCAATAGTAGTGGTAGCAGCAGCAGTAGTAGTAGTAGTAGTAGTAGTAGTAGTAGTAGTAGTAGTAGTAGTAACAGTAACAGTAACAGTAGTAGTAGTAGTAGTCGTAGTAGTAGTAGTAGTAGTAGTAGTAGTAGTAGCAGTAGTAGTAGTAGTAGTACGAATGGCAGTAGTAGTACTAGTCGCAGTATTAGTGAAAGTCGTAGTAGTAGTAGTAGTAGTAGTAGTAGTAGTAGTAGTAATAGTAGTAGTCCTACTACTACTAAAAGTAATCGCAGGGGTAAAAATAATACCAATCGTAGTAGCAGTAGAAGTAGTAGTAGCAGCAGTCGTCGTAGTAGTAGTGGTAGTAATGGTAACAGTAATATTAGTAGTAGTGGTAGTGACAATAGTTACTGTAGTCGTTGTAGTAGTAGTTGTAGTAGTAGTAGTAGTAGTAGTAGTAGTAGTAGTAGTAGTAGTAGTAGTAGCAATAGCAGTCGCAGTATTACTAACAGTAGTAGTAATAATACTTGTAGTCGTAGTCGTAGTATCAGTGGTAGTCGCAGTCGTGGCAGTCGTAGTCGTAGTCGTAGTAATAGTAGTAATGACACTAGTGGTAGTAGTAAGCATATCAATAGTAGTGGTAGTAGTAGTAGTAATAGTAGTAGTAGTAGTAGTAGTAGTAGTAGTAGTAGTAATAGTAGTTGTAGCAGCAATAGTAGTAGTAGTAGTAATAATAGTCGTGATAGTCGCAGTCGTACTTGTAGGAACAATCGTAGTAGTAGTAATACCAGTAGTTGTTGTAGTAGTCGTCGTAGTCGTAGTGGTAGTGAGAATGAGTAGTAGCACCAGTCGCAGCGGTAGCTGGGGTAGTAGTGCTACTTGTAGAGGTAGTTGTCGTAGTAGTGGTGGTCGTAGTAGCGATGCGGTCTACTCTAAGCCTATTCTAAACCTACTCTACTCTACTCTGAATTACTCCACTTTGCTCTGCTCGACTCTACTTTGATATATTACAATATGCTGTACTCCTGCTATGCTCTGCTTTACTCTGGTCTCTTCCTACTCTCCTCTCCTCTCCTCTCCTCTCCTCTACTCTGCTTTACGTCATTCTAATGTACATTTATAGTTTCCGCTGCTCTGCTCGACTGTACGCTGCTCCTCGCTAATTTCTCGACTCCGACCTACTCTATTCTATCTGGCTCCACTGTACCATTGACCCTATTCTACGCTGCTGTACACGGATCTGCCATCTACGATTCCGATGCGATCCTAGAGAGACCCTGTAGGACCGCTGTGCGACTCATGTGGAATCCCATCGGGACCCGAAACGATTCGCAAGACATCCTAAGGGGATCTCATCTGAATCCTGTACGAGTCCGAAGAGATCCTATAAGAACGCTCAATGATCCCTATGGGTTCCAACGGAAATCCGGTAGGATTCCGATGATACCCGCTTGAATAGGTTGGGCATCCTACGGACTTCTGCGCTGCCCGATACGACACCCACGCAAGTATAAAGGACGCCAATGCGATTCTTGTGCGGTCCCATAGGGTACCTGAACGATTCCTATGAGATCCGATTGGGCTCCTACTGAGTCCCAATGAGATTCCATATGCGTCCTATGGGGATCCTATATGGCTTCTGACATATGTGATCGATATCTATACGATTTGGAATGATTCCTCGAATAATGCCATACGACCCTTATGCAATCCTATGAGCATCGTGTACGAGACCGATGATATGCTGTAGGAATCCGATACGACTCCTGTACGTCCTGGGAAAGTATACAGAACTCCTTCAACAATCCCATGCGATCCTGACGAGATCCTATAGGAATCCGGTCCGATCCCGACGAAATCCGATGAGAGTCCTACGCAGTGTTATCATACCACGGACGATTGTCGTGACATCGTATAATAATGTTACCGGCATAGCAAAGGAAACCATGAGAAAAGTAAGTCACCAGAAGCAAGATAACGCAAAGGCCAATTTGAAGAAGGGGGGCAATGGACCAACTCTCTATGTACTGAGCTGAGATTTTATAACATGTCAAGCCGGCCATGGTGGACGCGTCTATTCTCCTTCCTCCCCCCCTCCCCCTCGCGAGCGGCAGGGGGGATGTCAGCGGCGCGACGGGCGGTTCGGAGGAGGAGGAGGAGGAGGAGGAGGAGGAGGAGGAGAAGGAGGACAAGGAGGAGGACAAGGAGGACGACAAGGAGGAGAAGAAGGAGGACAAGGAGGACAAGGAGGAGAAGGTGGAGGATAAGGATGAGTAGGAGGCGAAGGAGAAGGATAATAATGAGTAAGGAGGGAAATTTTGGGCACAGAGGAGCAACGAACTGCACAAACATAGGCTTCTGGAGGTCCGCTCGGACTTCTTGGATCGGCGACAGCCCCCCTGGGCGGCGCCGCCTCCGGCGCCAGCCATGGCCGATCTAAGAAGTCCGCGCGGACCTCCGCAACCTTCTGTCTATGTGTCTGCGTTTCTCCTCCGAGCGGGGGGGGGAAAGGAGGAGGAGGATGAGGATGAGGGGGGAAGGGGTGGGGTAGAGGGAGGGAGGGCGAGGAGAGGCAGAGGGAGAGATGGAGGGGATGGAGGCTGGAGGGAGGGGTCCATCAGCGTCGAATCGGGAAGTGGAATCGGCTCGGAAGGCGCGTCGGAGCGGGCCGCATCGGCACGGAGGCGGGATCGGCCACGCCAGGGTGCACGACAGCGCCGCGCGAACGCCGGGTCGCCTCGGGCCCGCGGCGCAACGTAATCGAGTCGGACACGGCCGACCAGAGCGAGTACCGAATCGGACCGACCGGACCGAAGTGGATTCCGGGAAGGAGGGGGGGAGGGGGGTTGGGCTCGAACTAATGGGGGGGCGATGCGTGGGGGGAAGGAGAAGTGCCCCTTTTCGGGCCCACGAGGCCCCCTCTGAGGCCCCAGAGGGCGCCTCTCAGGGGCCGACCAGAACGAGTATCGAATCGGACCGACTGGATCTAAGTGGATCCTGGGCAGGAGGGGAGGAAAGGGGTTGGGCGCGAATTGGCGTTGGGCAGGGACCGACCGTCCCGGCATTCCTATAGGCCTACCACGAAAGGTTCTTAGAACCCAGAAATGTTCTAACGACAAAAACGATGTTCTTAGAGCAGATTCCTGATGTGTTTTAAAAAGACAGTCCCATTCAGAAATGTTCTAAGAACATTTCGTGGAAGCAGCAAAAGGTTCTTACAACATGTCTTGGTAGGCCTATACGTACGCCAGGACGCTTCGTCACTGCTTGATAACGGGGGGGCGATACATGGGGGGGAGGAGAAGTGCCCCTTTTCGGGCCTACCAGGCCCCCTCTGAGGCCCCAGAGGGCCCCTCTGAGGGGCCCCAGACGGCCCCTTCTCTGCAGCCCTCGCTGCCCCCCCCCCCCCACCTGTCGCCCCCCCTTGACTGGACGAGCGCATGCCACTACTCGCAAAGCATCTACTCGCAAGTGGCCTGGGTCCGCCGCGGGGGATCTACGATGAACCTCATCGAAGCAAACACATGTTGTTTCGGACGCTTGCGAGTGGGCACTCTGCGAGTAGCGGAGCGCGCCCGGTGAGCTGCGCGCCCCCCGCGGGGGGCGGGCGCGTGCGAGTGCCGGCTGCTCTGGCGAGCGCCGCAGGGGCATCACTTGCCGATGCCGAGGGAGCCCAGGGGGTGCGTCGGCGACTCCTGCGGGGGCGGCAGGCAGGCCGCGCGGGGGGACGGGCGGGCGGGGGGGCCGGTCGGTGCGTCGGAGGTGCGCGCGCAGGCTTCGTGGATCGGCGTCGGGCGCCCCCTCCCTGGCGCGCTCCGCGCGCCAGGAGCGGCGCTGGCGGCGCCAGGGGTGCTGACGCCCTGCTTCTTCTCCACCCCCTCTTCCAGAGGGCAGAAAACCCACCCCCCTAGTGATGACCCCGACGAGCGGAGCCGTTCAGTCATCGCACGCAGGGGAGGAATCCAGCAAGGCAAGGTTTTTCGTGAACGCCCAGGGCCGTTTAGTCAACGCCAATTGTCCGGTCCGGGTGGTTTTTCCTCCCTTGATCTTTCTCCATCCTGCATCTCCGACCGACCTCCAGGGCCCATCCTCCGGTCGGTCGGTCGGCGCGACGGGGGTGCAGAGCGGATGGAGGTGGGGAGTGGGCCATGGATGCGGCGGGAGGAGGGTGGAAATAGAAGAGGGCGGGGATGGAGGTGGACGGAGATGGAGGAGGCAGAAGGATGGGCAGTGGAGGTCGGTCAGAGATGCAGGATGGAGAGGAATCATAATTAGAACAATAATACGTATAGTAAGAAGAAGAATAACAATACTAATAATAGTAGTAATAATAATAAGAAGAAGAAGAAGTCCGTCAGCACCCCTGGAGGCGCTTCAGGCCAACGCCGCTCCTGTCGCGCGGGGCGCGCCAGGGAGGGGGTGCTTGGCGCCGATCCGCGAGATCCGCGCGCGCGCACCTCCGACGATCTGTGCCTGCGGTGCGGAGGACGAGCAGGCCCCGTGGCCTGGAGAGTGCCTCGGCCCGCAGCGGGGGGGGGCCTCTCAACCTCGCTGCCCATGAGCAGCCGCGGCCACCCGGCGCACCCGCATGGGCGAGGGGGAGGGTGGATGGGAGGGGGCGCATGGGAGCAGCAGGAAGTGGAGCCTGAGGGGGAGCACACGACTTTCATTTCTCATCGCGCTCAGTTCTGATGGTGCTCGTTTCTGATTGGTCCTGGCCCCCATAGTGGCCGGGAAGAGGCTCAGGATAGAAAACAATTAGAAATGAAGGGATCTTGCCCCCAAAAAATCAAAGAACCCTCTCGAACAATTAGACATGAAGAAGAATTTATGTGTGGGGAGGAAGGGCTCCTGGAACTGCCAGCCGCCGCTCGTGATGTTGAAGGCGACGTGCGCTGGGTCGCGGGGGGCGTTTCGCGTCTCGCGGCAGTGGACGTCGGGGCGCATCTCCCGCTGGCCCGTGCGGCTCAGGAAATGCCAGGCGCCCGCGTCCCTGGGGCACTGCGCCTCCTTGCCCGCATAGGCGATCACCTCCGGGTTCATGTTGGTGCTGTAGTTGTCCCCGAGCAGCCACATCGTGTTCTGCTGGAAGTAGTACAGGAAGCCGCAGGCCCCCGCTGAAGGCGCGGGGGAGGAGGAGGACGGTTCGGCAAGAACCGCACGCGGGCAGCACGGCGGGAAGCTGCAGGCCACACGCGCAACATCAGGAGCCGCACCCCTCCTCCTCCTCCTCCTCCTCCTCCCTCCTCCTCCTCCTCCTCCTCCTCTTCCTCCTCCTCCTCCTCCTCCTCCTCCTCCTCCTCCTCCTCCTCCTCCTCCTCCCTCCTCCCTCCTCCTCCTCCTCTGTGGGTTCGGCAGAACGGCGTCGGCGTCTCGCATATGGGCTTCTCCCCTGGGACCTCGGGATCCTCATGTAGATGGGCTTCCCGCCGTGGAGCTTGCTGCCCTTGATGGTCGTCTTCACGAAGGCCCCGTTCACGTCTGCTCGGCCCGGGCAGCCCCTGCAGCTCGCGGCCCCCACGAACGAGAGCTCCGCGGGGCAGTCCTTGCAGCTCAGCCTGGCGATGGGGCAGCCGAGCGCCCGCGGAATGGCGGCGAGGCTCGCCGCCCCCCGGTCTTGGCCGGAGGGGCAGTGGCTGACTGGCTGACGGACCACTGGCGAGCCATGACCTGCTCCATAGCTCGACCAAGCAAAAAAGCGGCTCGACACGCGCGCTGGATCTGTTTTCACGCTCAGGCATCCGCAGGAGGGCCTGCTTGGCAGCCTCGCTGGGAGACGTCTCTAGCTCACAGCGGGGCCCCAGAAGGGGAGACGAGGGAAAGAAGGACGGGGGGGGGGGGAGGGGGGGGAGTCCGTGCACCGTGCCGCGGCGGCGTCTCCCAAGGCGTCGTCGATGGTCGGCCCAGGAATGGTGCGGCGCGAAGCTGCTCTTTCCCAGAGCCGAAGAGCCATGCACCGCAGCGCCCTGCAGAGCGGGGCCCGAAGGGAGTCGAAACAAGGCGCGGTGCACGGGCGCCGTTCTCGTAAGGGAGGAGGAGGAGGAGGAGGAGGAGGAGGAGGAGGAGGAGGAGGAGGAGGAGGAGGAGGAGGAGGCCGAACCTCACCATCGCCGTGGTTTACGCCACCCCGAGGCCTGTCCTTGCTCGGGTCGAACGGCGTGTGGCAGCAAGGCCCCGCGTGCTCGAGGTCGGCCTGGAGGCTGCTCGAGAGCCTCTCGGAGTGCTGGCGCATGTCGCAGTAGAACTGAGACCACTTCGCGCACGACCCGAAGTTCGTGTTCGTGCACGCGATTCTGGGCGAGGTCGGCCGGCGGATGAGCTCAAGCAGCATCCTTGAGAAGGGTGGGGCAGTTGCGGCAAGGGCATCGAACAAGACACCATTGGATTAGGGAGCCACTGCCTGGAAGCCAGTGGGACACCAACTGCGGCTCGGCCATGGATATCACCGCCGCCCTCATCAGATCAGGAATCCTCCAGAGTCTGAAGCCTGCTGGCCACATTCCTCAACCAACGCCCCCACCGTACGCGCATTAGGAGCACCGTATACGCCCGTTGCACCTCAGTACACGCGCCTGCACAAAGAAGAATCGGAATAGACCAGGGATGTCCAACAACAGGGGGCAGTTTCGTAAACCTCAACTATGGGGGGGGCTGGGTGGTCAGTCTTCCCCTGAATCCTCTTCCCAGCAGTGGGCTTCGGGTGGCCAGTGAAATGGGAAACCACCGCGTCGTCGCCGCAGCGGAACTGGCACTCCGTCCGCTGCCCCGGCTGGACGCCAATGATGTCCACGCAGTTGAAATTGCGGTGCAGTTCGACCACTTTGCCGCGGTAAGCCTCATTGATGATGTTCTGATCGAGGATGTCATTCCGCTCACGGTGTGAGACCATGTCAAGCATCTGCATGAACAATTCGAGGCTTGGCGAATAGACCATCACCCCGCTGTTATACTCGTCCGAGCCGTGTCCATGGGCAACGTCTTTGCAACCGTCCATCGCCATGGCAATGTGGCCATCGGGGAGATACATTTCAATGACGGACCGAAGCTTGGGCTGAAACACGTACGTGTCTGCATCCAGGAAAAGGACGCGCTGGAAAGGCAGCCGGAACGCGTTTCCGACACCGCGCCTGCGCGACGGTGGAATGTTGGAGTGCTGGCTTCTTGTCTGGAAGGGGTTCTGTATCCTTGTAAGGCCGACCAGGAGGAGGAGGAGAAGGAGGAGGAGGAGGAGGAGGAGGAGCAAGAGGAGGAGAAGGAGGACGAGGAGGAGGAAGGGAGGAGGAGGACGAGAAGAACGAGGAGGAGGACGAGGACAACGAGGAGGAGGAGGACGAGGAAAACGAGGAGGAGGACGAGGACGAGGAGAACGAGGAGGAGGAGGAGGAGGGGGACGAGGAGAACGAGAGGAGGAGGAGAAGGAAGAGGAGGAAGAGGAGGAGGAGGAGAAGGAGGAGGAGGAGGAGGAGAAGAAGGAGGAGAGGGCGCGCCGCTGGTTCCCTCAGAAAGGGAGTCGGGGGTACGCAGCCCCCCCTCCCTCCTCTTCCCCTTTCCCGAGCCCGCCATCCTGGATTCCTCGCTCCATCCCCTTTTCAGATCTATCCTCCCCGACCCCCTCTCGCCTCCTTGTCCAGGGGGGGGAGAACCCCCCCGCCTCCCCCTGTGGGTCCAGACGGGAGACCTCTCAGGGCCAAGACCACCAACCCTAACAGCCTAACCCTAACACCAACACCCGAATCCTAGCCCTAACATCCTAAATCTAACCCTACACAGCCCGAGAACCTGGACCCTAGCACCCTCACCTTGTCCCCTAACGCACTAGCGCCCGAATCCTGACCCTGGTCCCTACACCCCAACTCCAAACCCAACACCCAAAACTTGACCACGGGTAACCCAAGCCGAAAACTAACTCCCTAAGCCTAACACCCTACCCTAAAACACTCGCACCCTGACCCTGGTCCTAACACGCTGACCCTAACCTCAGCACCCGAACTCTAATGCCCTAGCACTCTGTCACATAATCATCACAATAACACCCTGACCCTCACATCCGCACTCTGGTCCGAACACCATAAGACTAACATCCTAACCCAACCCCTCACCACCTGACGCCATAGCCCTAACCCTACCTCCCTGACGTTCTAACCCGCCCCCTAACCCTGCGCGAACACCCTAGCCCTAGCACCCTAGCTAGCCCTGCCCTCAACACACGGATGCCCTTGCCCTGCCCCTAACAAGCTAAGCCTAACACCAGAACCCTCAGCATCCTAACCCTAACACTCGAACGCTTAATTGTGCCTCCCCTTTGCCCACGTTGGGGAGGAGGGAAGAGTTACACCCCCACCCCCTCTCCGTCGCAAAAGGAATGGGAGAAGGGGGGGATGGTTACAACAAAGACCACGTTGGTGGGGGAGGAGAGGGAGGAGGGGTTTACGCAGACACTCGAACACACAGACACACAGACACACACACACACATACACAGACACACACACAGACACACACACAGACACATAAGCACACCTAAACACAAGCACAGAGACACACACCCACGCACACACACACACACACCCGCACACGCACCCATCACCCACCCATGCACACACACACACACACACACACGCACGCACGCACTCACGCACGCACGCGCACACGCACCCCCCAACCCCCCCCCCCGCTCACACACACAGACACATACACTGACACACTGACACACACACGCACACGCACACACAAACGTACACACACACACACACGCACGCGCGCACGCTCGCACGCACGCACACACATGCACAGAGACACACAAACACAGATGCACACAAAGAGACAAACACACACACAGACACACCCAGACACATACAGGCACACACAGGCACACAGACACACAGACCACACACACACACAACACACACACACACACTTGTTTGGCGTCGCGTCCCCGCGCGCGGCGACGCGGCGTAGAAAGTCACGTGCAAGCAACGGAACGCGTGCGTATATGCTCGGCCGAACTCTTAGAGACCAAACCACACAGACACGCGCGCACAAACACACACACACACACACCACGCACACACACAGACACACACACACACACACACACACACGCACGCACGCACGCACGGGCACAGGCACAGGCACAGGCACAGGCACTCGCGCACACACACACACTCACATACGCACACACATACGCACATACATACACACACCACACACAGAGACACGCATATACGCACAAACACACACACATTCACCCTTTTCAACTAGCGGGGGAACCACTGGCGCTCTTTCAACACACGCCCATCCTAGAACTGCTTCCGAACGTTCTCTCGGCCTATAGACAGCTCCAAAACGACCAGAGGACGCCCCCGAACGGCTCAAGATGATCGTTGGACCCCGCCGCCAGTCCAAACGGCGAGCATACATCGTGCGAAGCCCCGAAGAAACTCCAAGGGCACTCCACTCTAGCCACTTGTTGGTGGCGCAATGGGTTGCGCCATGCATACGATGCTTGCACCATCGGTTGTGTGATCTCCTGTGCAGTGTGTTACCCGATCCGCGGGGTGCGCAGTGCGCCATTTGTGCCGCTGGGGCCGTGGGTTGCGCACTCGGCGGCCGAAAGCAAAACGGCCTGCTCCTGGCAGCGCCACAAAGTGGGGTGCTCGGTGGCCAAAACTTGACGGGTGGGTTGCGCCGCAGGCTGCACAAGCGGCACCTGAACGTGCACTGGCCCGAGAAAGGTCACGCCCACAAAGGTTGCGCATTCGGCGGCCAGGAATCGAGCGGGGTGCTACCGATTGTTCCATAACTTGAACCCTCGGCGGCAGGAAATAAAACGGCCTGCTCTGGGTTGCACCGTAGGGTGCGCGCTCGGCCGCCGAAAGCAAAACGGCCTGGTGCTGGTTGCGCTGCAAGTTGCGCATTCGGCGGTCGCAAACAAACCCGTCAACCTCGGGGAAAAAAAGATCTGGCCGGGAGGCCTGGCGCGAGACCGCGGGAGGCACGCGACAACGATAGACTTCGTGGCACTGCCTGCTGCTGCTCCTCACGCAGACCCGCACCAGGGCCCCCGGAGCTGCGAGCGCGGTTCCGACAGAAGTGCAGAGGGACTGGGCTGCACCGCGGCTCCGCTCCGCCCTGGGTGCAGGGCCTGGGCTGCCCCGCAGGATCACCCCTCCTGAGTGCCGACGCATGCGGGCACCCCTACTGGGGCCTTCGGTGGAGCTCCCTGTGGGGCCACGAAACGCTGTGCTGGGTGTGGCGGACGCATGCGGGCCCCCCCACTGGGGCCTTCGGTGGAGCCCCTATGGGGCCACGAAGCGCTGTGCTGGGTGTGGCGGACGCGTGCAGGCCCCCCCACTGGGGCCTTCGGTGGAGCTCCCTGTGGGGCCACGAAACGCTGTGCTGCGTGTGGCGGACGCAGGCGGGCATCCCCACTGGGGCCTTCGGTGGAGCTCCCTATGGGGCCACGAAGCGCTGTGCTGGGTGTGGCGGACGCATGCGGGCACCCCCACTGGGGCGCCTTCGGTGGAGCTCCCTATGGGGCCACGAAGCGCTGTGCTGGTTGTGGCGGGCGCATGCGGGCACCCCCACTGAGGCCTTCGGTGGAACACCCCTTGGGGCCACGAAGCGCCGTGCTGGGTGTCGGACAAAGGCGGGCATCCCCACTGGGGCCTTCGGTGGAGCTCCCTATGGGGCCACGAAACGCTGTGCTGGGCGTGGCGGACGCATGCGGGCACCCCCACAGGGGCCTTTGGTGGAGCTCCCTGTGGGGCCACGAAGCGCTGTGCTGGGTGTGGCGGACGCATGCGGGGACCCCCACAAGGGCTCTCGGTGGAGCTCCCTGTGGGGCCACGAAACGCTGCGCTGGGTGTGGCGGACGCATGCGGGCACCCCCACTGGGGCCTTCGGTGGAGCTCCCTGTGGGGCCACGAAACGCTGTGCTGGGTGTGGCGGACGCATGCGGGCACCCCCACTGGGGCCTTCGGTGGAGCTCCCTGTGGGGCCACGAAACGCTGTGCTGGGTGTGGCGGACGCATGCGGGCACCCCCACTGGGGCCTTCGGTGGAACCCCCTATGGGGCTGCGAAGCGCTGTAGTGGATGTGGCGGACGCATGCGGGCACCCCCACTGGGGCCTTCGGTGGAGCTCCCTGTGGGGCCACGAAACGCTGTGCTGGGTGTGGCGGACGCATGCGGGCACCCCCACTGGGACCTTCGGTGGAGCTCCCTGTGGGGCCACGAAACGCGTGAAGGGTGCGCCGGAATGGGTGATGATGATGATGATGATGATGATGATGATGATGATGATGATGTCGAGGACGGTAACAATGACGATGTCGATGGTGATGCTGATGATGATGGAGGTGCTGATGATGCTGATGATGTTGATGATGATGCGGAGTCCCTTGAATAATGATGGTGGTGATGGTGATGATGATGATGATGCTGATGATGATGACGATTATGATGTTGATGAGAGGAGGAGGGAGGGGGCAGCGGGAGAAGGAGTAGTGAACGCGGGGCGCTGTCTCTTCATAACGAGGACCCAACACCACAGGATGGTTGGGAACAACGAGGACCCAACACCACAGGATGGTTTGGGAAAACAACATGTTTTTTGCAAACGAGCGCGCGCATAGAAACTGTTGCAAAAGATGGCGGGGGGGGGCGATACCGGTTGGGCTGGGACGGTACGGTTTCGTTTTTTAAAATGGACGACGGGGCAGAACCATATGCGAATTACAACACGATAAAAGGGTGCCGATAATGCCGGGGGGGTGGTAGAGTCTATGCATTCTCTTTTTAAGAAACGGATCACATATATAATCCTTCTGTGCGAATTTACACTAGGAGCCCTGTTGTGGGCGAGCAGCACAGTGATTTCTATTGTGTGGGTTGCACATCGCATATTTTGTTGTGCTGCTGAACCAACATTTCTTCTGTGCGGTTTACACATTGGTTTCTAGTCTGTCGTATAGATATAGAATCCTGCAACGCGGTAAAATTCTTCCTTTTGCGGGCAATGTACCATGTGATTTCCAGTGCGTGGAATGACATCGAATCCTTTTGCGCGGCTCCACACCAGGAGCCCAGTTGTGGGCGGTTTACACATGGAATTCTATTCTGCGGGTTC